TCTTCTTCTTCTTCTTCTTCTTCTGTATCCACTGCTTTCAACTTTTCTTCCTTTTCCTTCTTTACCCTTTCCAACTCCTCCTCCAACTTCTTTCTTTTTGCGGCCTGCTCCTACAACAAGGCCAACTTCTTGGCCTGCTTCACAAGCTCTTTCTTCTCCTTTCTGGCCTTCTGCTCGACCAATATTCTTGCAGCCTCCTCCTCCTGCTCCGGGGTGTAGGGAGTGGTACTAGTGCCACCCCACGTCTCTACTCTACACGTCATCGTGTTCCAAAATCCCAAAGGAAAGAGAAGACGCTAGAGGGTCCCCCAAAGGGAGAACCCCATTAGCAAGCCGTACATAGGGTAATCGTCCATGGTGTCAGGTGCACGACAAGGAATGTCCCACTCCTCACCACTTAGACCTACCCACTAGACTGACTGACTGTCTGTCTAAGGACCACAGGATCCAGATAGGACCCTGTCAACTATGGTCACTAGCCTGGACCTAATACTATGGCTGTCACTACATGACTCAATGTTGATCAGGAGGCATTTAAGGAGATCCCCCGTAACTCCTCAGGAATTATTTAACGTCGCAGACAGGACAACGCGATCAGCAAGTCCTCAAGACTTAGACAGCTTGTTGTGCAGCCCACAACTCGGATTTTGGGCCTACCGTGCCACACTAAGCAGCCCGCCAGTCAGTACCGGTCCTTGGGAGGGTTTGTCGTCCGGGTCAGTCAGTCGTCAGACACAGCCTTTAGCCCTACTCAGCCCGTCTGGGTTTGGTCAACAAAGCTCTACGACCTCATACACAGAGTTCCGAACACCTGGACAGAAGAGACTCAATGCAGAAAGAAGAGACAAACAGACTCAGCAAGTACCATGGGGTGAGTGCACATCCATAAGGCGAGGGGATAGGCTGAAGGCTTGGCGAGAATATACCAACTCCAGCTTGGTCAATTTTGTGGTCAGCAGCTTCGGTCAACACCTTGGTCAGACACGGCCTGCCCTACTCAGCCCGTGTGGGTTTGGTCAACAAAGCTCTACGACCTCATGCACAAAGTTCCTAACACCTGGACAAAAGAGACTCGATGCAGAAAGAAGAGACAGACAGACTCAACAAGTACCATGGGGGAAGTGCACATCCATAGGGCGAGGGGATAGGCTGAAGGCTTGGCGAGAATATACCAACTCCAGCTTGGTCAATTTTTGTGGTCAGCAGTTTTGGTCAACGCCTTGGTCAATGCTCAATCAACGGCCAAGTCAACCCCGATCAACCCCTTGGTCAACACCCAAGTCAACCTCTGTCAACTCCTTGGTCAACGCCCAAGTCAACCTCTGTCAACTCCTTGGTCAACAGTCAATTCGGCTATGGCTGCCGACACTCTCTCCCTTACCAACCCTCGCTTCTCTTTTTCCCTCTTTTCTCCTTCCTCACTCCTTTCTCTCCTCACCCTGGCTATGTCTTTCTTTTCCCTTCTTCGTCTCTCCCTTCTCCTTCCTCAGCTATGGCTTCTCTCTCCTTTGTCTCTCCTCCCTTCTCCTCTACTTTACCTTCTTCCTACTTGGTAACCCTGTGTCCGGGCTTCGACGGTTATGGCCACCACCTCCTGTCTTGGACCGCACAAACAATCTTGTATCGATCCTCTCTCTCTCTCTCTCTCTCTCTCTCTCTCTCTCTCTCTCTCTCTCTCTCTCTCTCTCTCTCTCTCTCTCTCTCTCTCTTNCTCTCTCTCTCTCTCTCTCTCTCTCTCTCTCTCTCTCTCTCTCTCTCTCTCTCTCTCTCTCTCTCTCTCTTCGTCGTTGTCTTCTTTGCAGGTACAAGACACCTTCTTCCACGGCGCAGCTATGGCGGACCTTCCACCTTCAATTGCGCAGCTCCAACTATGGCGCCCAACTGGCGCATGTCTCCTTCCTGCTGGCAATGACGATGGCGCGTGGAATGGCGGGAACCAGCTCTGATACCAATGCAATCAGACTCGCTTTCTTCTTACTTCGTATACATGCAAACAGATGGCAACTCAAACCGGCGCCAAGCGCCCACTCAAAGCTCAAGGATATGGAAGTCGAGAACACCGTTCAGATGCAAACTTACTTCAACAGGCTATGGCGCATCAGCGCCTGTATATCCCAACTCTCGTCACAGTGTCCAACACCACTGTTCACACATAGTCAACTCTGGATCACCCTGAATACCCCACACACATTCACTGCATCACACACTCACACACATACACTAACCCCTAACACTAGCTATGGCAGCTATGGCCGCCGGCTACTACTGCCTATGGACACTCTGCCTTTCTTCAGCCCACTTCGACTTCGGGCAACCTGCAGACCACCTCGCACAAGACGCTGTGGCAGCGCTTCCGCATGGCTTACACAGCGAATCAATGAATGGCTGGGCGCTGCCTCTTGATTTATACTTTTGTAAGTCGTTGGTCTGCCCCTTTCCACCGGGCCCATGGTGTACACAGTCCCATGGTACTTGCTGACTGTGCAAAGTGAGACCGGGACTGGGTACCGCTGACTAAGCGAAGTTGGACTCATCACTTGCCCACTTGCCACTGACTAAATGTGAGGAACCCTCGAAAGGCCACTTCCGGACCTTCCGGAAGTCTGTGGACTTGGCCTTTCGGGACTGTAGCAGCTACGACCTTGACCTTTCAGTACTGTAGCAGCTACGACCTTGACCTTTCGGAAACGCTACAGCTACGGCCTCTACACAGCTATGACCCCTACTCGACAGTTCTACAGATCGAACCCCTACAACTACACAGACCTACGACAGACAACAACCAACTACCAAAACACAGGTCGCAGGTTCAAACACTCAGGGGTCAACTCGATACTGCACACGGTTAAGGTAAGGTCTGGGGATCGAGCTTTTGGGGCCCGCATCTGTGTCTGCAAAAAGGTGAAAACCGTTTCGAAGCGCTACATCGCAGCTGTATTCAGGGTAGATCCAAGTATGGAGAGGGAGAGCGAACGAGTTTTGGAGAGGCTTGAATGATGCAAGACTTGAGAGAAAGAGAACAGACAGACAGCGAGGGGGAGAGAGAGAGTTACACAACGAGGGATGGAGAGTCGGGTACTTACCTGCGTGGGGTTGCCATAGTCGGATTGCGGCTGAGGCCGCTGAGTACACGAACTCTCCAATTGTACATTTTACTATATCCCTTACTCTTATAATAAAGTGTAAGCCTGTAAGGTGGGTGTTGCGTGACGGTCCTGCTGAGGCCCAGCCACCATTGTTGGGAAAACGGAAATTTCCCCTGGACCCACGGCTCGGTGTCACTCGCGTGCCTTCGGTTGTTGTTGTTTCCTCATCTGGCCCGGGGCGTGCTCATGTCACTCGCGTGCCTTCGGTTGTTGTTGTTTCCTCATCTGGCCCGGAGCGTGCTCGAATACAAGTACACAATGCAGCGATGTGTAGAGTTTTTCCAGTAGATTTGTTGGCTTTTTTTCTGCAGTTCGTTTTCTTTTTTTTGTCTTTTTCAGAGGAGTGATGCCACAACCAGCGGCCCTCACCACATGCACAAAAGACAAAAAATATGGTGGCATATCTTTCCACGTTCTAGGAGAAGATTCATTTGAACCCCTTTGGTGAGTGGTGGAGCGAGGCCTGATCTCACAGTTAGTACTCTTAGGGCCTCCCTCCACTACTCATGACGTGCACAAAAGACCAAAGTGTAGATTTGTGTTTTTTCCCTTCTTCTTTTTGGAATGCGGGCAGACTGAACTTTCCCGAAGGGTGGGTTTGCGGGCCAACCAGCAGCGTCGCGGGCAGGGAGAGCTGGCAGCACCGGGGGGTAGAGGTCGGGCAGGTAAAATCCATGCCATTTTGCATGGCAGATTCATTCGATTTTGCAGGGGAGGAGCAGGGGCAGGAGGGGCGGCATGATGCGCAGGAGGGGAAGGAGGCGGAACTGGACGACGATGAACACGAGAACAAGATAGCGAGCCCCAAGACCCATGGAGGAGGGAAGGGATGAAAGTGGGAGGAGGGGAAGGAGGAGGACGGGGAGGACGACGAGCAGGAAGACAAAGAAATATGGCCATGTATCTCCCCATGTTCCAGCGGAAGATTCATTCCACTTTGCAGGGGAGGAGGAGGGCGGGATGGCAAGCGGGAGGAGGGGAGCAGGAGGAGAGGAAGGAGGAGGGACGGGAGGACAACGGACAGGAGGAGAACAAGATGGCGAGCACAACGAACAGGAGGAGATGGCGAGCCCCGTTAGCCGTGGAGGAGGGGCAGGATGAGGAGGGGACGAGGGGAAGGAGGAGGACGGGTTCCCCTCAGCAATGAAGAGGCTGCCAACAGCACATCCTACCCTCAGCAAACTCTCAGCTTCCAGCAGAAGATTCATTTCACTTTGCATGGGGGAGCAGTTCTTTGCCGTGCGTGGAGCCGTGGCGGGAATTGCCTTGCTATCATAATTTGAGCGGAAATACATCTGGTGCTGATTCATGTGTCATCTCTCAAGCCATTGCAAAATGACCACAGCAGCCTGCCGTCTTAGCAGCATCAGTGACTTCATGGCCACAGGTGCACTGACAGTTTGGTCACCAGGTAGTAAAAACTGTTTCTCAACAACAACGACAGATGCACAGCAAAAGCTATGAGACTCTGAAACATGGCAGCAGCTGCACCAATCACACCTCACGCCAGAGTGGAAATAGCAACTGCATCACCGGGTGTCAGAGACCACTACACAGCATATAATTATAACATGTGGCCACGATACCGCCCAAAGATGTGGGTCTAACAGGTCCACAACTGAACATATGATGACACATAAATCTGATGGCAGATGCATGAGCTAGACAGCGCCACAATTACGGCCACACGGGACAATACATGTGCTGCAAGGACACTGGCAAAAACGAACAGGCAACCATGTGCTGAGCAGTCACATTTGAGCTACTACCAAACAATTGCAAGTTGACCTCCAGACGGAGATATAGCATCCCCTTGTGGGTGGGCTTCCTGCTGCAGCTGATTGATTTGCCAAGACTTTGATGCCTGTTTTACTAGAACTCGTAGAACTACGCCTAAACAGCAGCAAGAATCTGTTTTGCTGGCACCAATGAGTCAACAAATTGTTGCAGAGATAACCAGGACAGCTCTGCAAAGTTGTGGGACAACAACACCTAAGAGCCTCACAAAGGTTAACAGGATAAAAGTGGCAGTCCGTTGTCTGAGATTTGGAAGCCTCACCGTCCTGTGAAATGGCCCTCTCGTGCCTGTCAACCTCCTGGAACGTGTCACTTCTCGCGTCTCCTCGCTCATATATCCTTGGTCCTCGTGACCTAGCCAACGTCCAACAGGGCCACTGCCAATTGATCCCCAGTTACTGTCTTCATGTAAAGGCCTGGAAGATGATCGAGGCAGCTCCATCTCATGGGCCTCGTCATGCAGAAGGAACGGAATCACCCCACTGGAGGAGAACGATGGTGAGGAATCCACATAGGCCCATGAGCTATGGAACCCACTGCTTGTATCGGACTCAGCAACTTCCCCTAGGACAGATCCAACTGGCACACCGGCATGGTCCACATAGAGAAAAGGCATGCGCATGTCGGTTCGAGCTCCACCTTCGAAAGAAACACCCTGACTCCCATTGCTGCGCCGGTGCACATCATGTGGGTAAACAGCTGGAATCCGATGAGAACCTCTCCGACCTGCTTGATTTCGTTGACCTGCCACACAGCAAAAGTTAAGCGAAAAGGCAGGAGCTCTGGTGAAACAGAAAAAGTCAGGGCAGCAGCCAACAGTAACAGTACAGGATTGCTGGGCATCCCCGGCTCTACAACCAGTGAAAGAACTGCACGTTTTCAGCTATTGTTTCTTCCCGCCACTCAAGTTGTCCTGATCCAGCCAAAAGAACTGCACATTTTCTGCTATTGTTTCTCCTTGCAGTCAGACTCGCTTTCTTCTTCACTTCACATACATGCAGACAGATGGCAATTCACACTGGCGCCAGGGGCCCACTCAAAGCTCAGAGATATGGGAACTGAGAACACAGTTCAGATGCAAACTCGCTGCAACAGGCTATGGCGCATCAGCGCCTGTACATCCCAGCTCTCGTCACTGTGTCCAACACCATTGTTCGCACACACTCAACTCTGGATCCTCCTGAATATCCCACGCACATACACTCTGCCACTCACACACACACACACTGAACTCTGCCTCTAAGCTACAGCGGCTATGGCCGCCTACCCCGACTAGCTATGGATACTCTATCCTCCTTCGGCCCACTTCGTCCTCGGGCATCTGCAGACCACCTTGCACAAGACGCTTGGGCAGCGCGTCCGCATGGCTCACCCAGGAATCAATCCATGGCTGGACGCTGCCTCTTGATTTATACTTCTGTAAGTCGCTGGCCTGCCCCTTTCCACCGGCCCACGGTGCACACAGTCCCTCATGATACTTGCTGACTGTACAAAGTGAGACTGGAACTGGGTACCACTGACTAAGCGAAGTTGGACTCACCACTTGCCCACTTGCCTCTGGTCTGCTGTGGGTAACGGGAGGGAAACTCGAAAGGCCACTTCCGGACCTTCTGAAAGTCTGTGGACTTGGCCTTTCAGGGCTGTAGCAGCTACGACCTTGACCTTTCAGGACTGAAGCAGCTACGACCTTGACCTTTCAAAATTGCTACAGCTACAGCCCCTACACAACTATGACCCCCTACTCGACAGATCTACAGATCGAACCCCTACAGCTACACAGACCTACGACAAGCAACAACTGACTCCTAAAACGCAGGTCATGGGTTCAAACACACAGAGGTACTGTACACTGGTGAGGTGAGGTCTAGGGATCAATCCTTGGGATCTGCATGTGTTACTGCCAACGTGAAAACCGTTTCACTCCAGCCAGCCTAATTTCGAGGTCCTCCGAGAATACTTCAGTCCAAAGTAGGACTTTTACCTTTCTTTTCGTAGACTCGGACTACATCGGGAGCTGTCTCTAGAAGCTCTGTTCGGGTGAACCGGCGGTCGTCGTCCGTTTTTTGATAGGCAAATCTGAAACGGTATTCACCAATTCGTGGTAGTTGAGACAGATCCCAGGGCTCGATCCCTAGTTCCCCAACTTACCTGTGTACAGTATGGATGTCAACC